AGTGGGAGCCGCGATGGGCCGGACCTGCGGACGGGGCAGGTAAACAAACCGGCCTGGCCCACCAGGGGCTTTCCCTACACAAGCGGCGACCCCTGTTTGAGAAACCCTGGTCTAATGAGGGGAAAATAACAGAGATTATAAAGATAGCACTTATGATGTTGAAGAATTAGTCAGAAATAAATAGGGCAGATACTTGCAGTCTCATAATTTTGATATCAGGAGTGTTTGAGAACATTTACAGGAAGGGAATTCGACTTTTCTTCTGTCATTTCTTCCCTCTACTGACCATTTATTCTGAAACAAAATATATGTAGTCATGCAAAATCCATGCTATGAGGTATTTAAAATTATTATTTATTTGTTTACAAACAGTTTTATGATATCCTCAAAATGCCTTAAAGAACTGAAAAAAACTAACGTGAAGGGATCACTTCTCTTTACACAGCATTTTGCTTTTCCTACCACTTCTTGGGATAAATGTAATAGCCATTATTAGGGACAGCTGTAATGGAGTGGGATCTGAGAGTAATTGTGGGGGTAATTTACTGTAAAATAAAGTTGGATTTTGGCCTCTACACTACAGTTATCACCCTTACAGCCATAAAATATGACTCTTTAATGACTACTAATGGTCAAGATCTTAGTTTTAGATCTGATCCGAAGGAACATCTTCAGCAATATTAATCCCTAAAACCACTCTTGGGCAATTGTCAAATGCTGAGCCAAAGGGAAGAATGCATATCAGCTATGCATTGCTTGAAATTCTCCCATTCAGCTGTGGAATAGGCCTTTAACCCTGGGATCTAAATTCTGGGGTCTAATAATATCAAACCTCAAGATGGTATAGCAAAAGGCCAAATTAAATTAAACTCAGAAGGAGATATTGTTGAATCCACCCAAAGGGAATATTTGTAAGATATATGAATTTTCAAGATAAAGATTCTTCTGAGTTTGTTTCATTTAATATACTATGCATAGATATTCCCTAAAATTAACTATAATAAAATATGAGAAAAAGCAATATTGTACATGGGACAGTAAGCATGTAGCATTTCCTGGAGACTTAAAGCAGATGTTATTGCTTCTGGTTGCCATTTATATTCATAGAATCATAGAATCATAGAAATGTAGGGCTGGAAGGGTCTCTGAGATGTCATCAAGTTCAGTCCCCGGCTCTCTGGCAGGACCAAGTAAACCTAGTCTATCCTTGATGGGTGTTTGTCCAACTTGTTTTTAAAACCTTCCAAAGACGGGGACTCCACGACCTCCCTTGGAAGCCTATTCCAGAGTTTAACTACCCTTATAGTTAGAAAGTTTTTCCTAACATCTAACCTAAATCTCCCTTTACTTCTTGTCCTACCTTCAGTGGACATGGAGAACAATTGATCACCGTCCTCTTTATAACAGCCCTGAACATATTGGGAGACTGTTATCAGGTTGCCCCTCAGTCTTCTTTTCTCAAGGCTAAATATGTCCAGTTTTTTTCAACATTTCCTCATAGCTGAGGTTTTCTAAACCTTTTATAATTTTTGTTGCTCTCCTCTGGGCTCTTTCCAATTTGGCCACATCTTTCCTAAATTGTGGTGACCAGAACTGGACACAATACTCCAGCAGGGGCCTCACCAGTGCCACAGAGAGCAGGACAATTATCTTCTGTGTCTTACATATAACACTCCTGTTAATATACCTGGAATCATATTAGCCTTTTTTGCAGCTGCATCACATTGAGGACTCATATTGTTTGTGGTTCACTATAACCCCCAAATCCTTTTCAGCAGTAATACCACCTAGACAGTTATTCCCCATTTTGTTGTTGTGCATTTGATTTTTCCTTCCTCAGTGATGTAATTTGCACTTGTCTTTATTGGATTTCTTCTTGTTGAATTCAGACTAATTCTCCAATTTGTCAAGATCATTTTGAATGCTTGCAAGCCCTCCCAGCTTGGTATCATCTTCAGATTTTATAAGCAAACACTCTACTCCATTATCCATTAATGAAAATATTGACTAGTACCGGTCTCAGGACTGACCCCTGCGGAACCCCACTAGATATGCCCTCCCAATTTGAGAGCAAACCATTGAAAACTACTCTATGAGTATGGTCTTTCAATCAGTTGTGCATCTACCTTATAATAAATTAATCTAGACCACATTTCCCTAGTTTGCTTAGGAGGATGTCTTGCGGAGCCATGTCAAAAGCCTTACTAAAATCAAGTTATATCACATCCTACTGCTTTCCCCCTATACACTAGGGCAGTAATCCTATCAAAGAAGGAAATGAAGTTGGTTTGGCATGATTTGTTCTTGACAAATCCATGGTGATATTCCTTATAACTAAGGCTAAGATTTTGTCATGGATATTTTTAGTAAAAATCACGGACAGGTCATGGGGGGGGTGGTCCCCATGCCCTGCCATGGCAGCAAGGATCTGCAGGTTTCGCCCTGACCCCCTGCGGCAGCGGGGCGCTATGGGACTCCCCCTGCCCTGCTGCAGCCGCAGGGATCTGTGGGGGTCCCCCTACCCCATGGCAGCAGAGGGGAGCTGCCAGTGTCCCCCTGCTGCCACCATGGTGGGGAGCTGCAGGGATCCCTCAGCCCCACCGTGGCAGTGGGGTGCTGCAGGGAGTGGCAGGGGCCCCCTGCCCTGCGGTGGTGGTAGGGAGCTGCCCGGGTCCACCTATCCCGTGGCAGTGGCTGGGAGCTGCCAGTGTCCTCCTGCCCTGCAGCGGTGGCCGGGAAGCTGCGGGGGTCCCTCTGCCACCTCTACTGGTGGGGACCTGCGGGATCCCCTTTTCCCTGGCAGTGGCTAGGAGCTGTGGGGTACCCCCACTGCCCATGGCATCCGAGAGCTTGGGGGCCTGCTGCATCAGGCGGCGAGGGTACCTCACAGCTCCCTGTCACTGCGGGAGGAGGAGGGACCCTGTAGCTCTCAGCCGCCAGGGCTGAAGTCACGTGACTTCCACAACCTCCGTGATAACACTGTAGCCTTACTTATAACCCTATTATCCTTCAGGAACCTACAAATTAATTATTTGAGTCATTGTTTAATAATTTGCTCATATGAAAACAGTCAGCCTGGTTACTCTGTGCTGGCATAACAGATTATGAACAATCACATGTCAGATGATGCTGTCCAAGAAAAGATCTCTGGATTTTGCAGCAAATTTTTCTAATTGAAGAGCTGCAACTAAAGCTGAATGCCATCTAGGATTCATATAGTTAAATATTAGGTAGCTCTGAAATTATGTGAACTAGGGTAAAAGGGACTGATTTTCCACTGGTTTTACATTAGTGTATCTCCATTGAGTTCAGTGGAGTTCCAAGTGCATAAAACCAGAGTAAAGGAGTGGAGAATCAGGGCCATAGTGTTATGTATTGTGGTATATAGCCCTCTTCTATTTGGGGTCAAATTCAGACCCAATGTAAATGGGAACAACTCCACTGAAATCAACAGAGATGCACACATTTGCATCACGTGTCTTGTAGATCCATGATGATGGGCTTCCCCTGCCAACGGCAGCTGCTGAAACTCCCGCTTAAAGGGAGAACCCCACAGATTAGTGGGGACTTTGCTCAGGAAATAATAATGCCTCTGAGTATTAATAGATCAGTGATTCTCTGCATCGTTGGTGGGAAGATGACGTGCCCATGTCTTTCTCCCTCCACCCCTCACCTCCCTCTGTAGGGTCAGTGTTATGGACATGGTTCATTCACCTTCCATGTGAGCAAATAGACATCCATGTGTGGAAGCTATTCTTGGCCACGTACCCAAAGGGCAAATTTTAGCCCTTAGATTGTAAACTTTTTGGGGAAGGCACCTTGTCTTTTATTTGTATGGCCGGTGCCAGGCACGCCTATAGTTCTGCAGAAATGATTAATATTACTAATCATTGCATTGTTATGTACTAACACAGCTAAAATGAAGTGGTGCTGCAGCATATGTGGCAAAGTCAATGTATTGCAATGGAGATTTCAGCAAATACAGCCCAGCAACTGATTCAAACAACCTCTAGGCGGGTATGTGTTAAAATTCCTCACTTCAGAACACTACTCACGTAATTGCAGATCTATATCAAAGCCTGATTAATCAGATATTCTTCACCCATGATTGCAAGACAACATCTTTTAGACAGAAAAGCATAACAAATACATGAGGGGTGAAATCAACTCTGCCTGCACAAATCCTGACTAATCATGCTCTATGTGGTGGAGGCTAGAGGGGTTGGAGAGGTGGCAAAGAGCTGCTGAAGCCCAGCAAGTTGCATGGGATTTTGGGGCCACACGACCACCACTCAACCCCTCTTGGCTTTCCATGATAGTCTCGCATAGGATTGTCATGGAGACCCAAGCAGTGATGTGTAGGAGATGCACAACTCTGAGAAGGAAAATAAAGGAAGAAATAGTCAATATGTCTTGGATGTAGAAATGTACCACTATCTACATCATGAACAAAATCTCAGCCAGGATAAATATGCCCCACACTTATCACTGATTGTGAGCTTCGTGGTCCGAAGGGCAAAGAAAATCCTATAGGTATGAAATGTTTGCCCATGAATAGGAAAGCAATGGTGCCCCCTTGTGTAAAAATGACATTTAGCAGCCGCCCAGACAGTCCACCAGCCCCCATGAAATTAAATACTAAATCCAAGAGTGCCTCTGATCACAAAATAATACACTTAATGGTTGTGAGAAAGCCTAAAAGCACTGACAGTGCAGTCATGTTCGGTGACTACAGCTGTGGCTAGGAACTCCTTTTCCTCTCCTGAGTTGGGCAATTTGTCACTGAACTGTGACTAGTGGATATTTCCTTCCGAAGCTGCGACACCACTCGAATGTACAACCAATTAAAATGTTTTGCTATTCAGGCCTTTGATCTTCTGTCTCACTCATGATTCTTCTTATAGAAACATTGGGGTGAAATCCAGGCTTCATTGAAGTCGCCACAAAATTTTCCATTGACTTCAGTAGGCCCAGGATTTCACCTTTGGATTTTTTTGGCCATGTTTGTGATCTTCTTTAAAATGCCACATGGCCAGTTGGATTTATATATATATGTATTTTTAACATTCACAGCTGGTATTTTTAACAGTTTCTGCCGTGATGCTCCTGCCTCTTTATCTTCTACCGTATTGAAAAGCATGAAACTCTCAACAGCGATGAAGTGTGTACAGGGAAGCCAATGCTCTCTTCACTTAAGCATTAAAGCGACCCTGAATCTTGATGGTAGGCCTGCAGATTTGTTACTAAACCATTTTTGGGTTTGTTTTGCTGTTTGTTTATGGTCCTTCAGCCAGATTTTGTTCCATATTGCAGTGTTCATATCCAAGCTGAGTTGAATTAACCATATCAGTAAGATTTTATGAAACAGCGTATTTACTGCTTTACTAAAATCCAAAAGTGAAATCCTGGCCCTATGGAAGTCAATGGGAATTTTGCCATTGACTTCAGTGGAACAAGGATTGCACCCCAAGTATATTACAGTTAATGCTTTCCCTTCTTCCACTAAAGCAGGGATTGGCAGCTTACCTGTCAGGGAAATCTGCTGGCGGGCCGGGATGGTTTGTTTACCTGCAGCATCCGCAGGTTCGGCTGATCGCAGCTCCCACTGGCTGTGGTTTGCCGTTCCAGGCCAATGGGGGCTGTGTGAAGCGGCGGCCAGCACATCCCTCGACCCACGCCGCTTCCCGCAGCCCCCATTGGCCTGCAGCTATAATATTAGGGCCTAAGTTGTAATTCTGTCTAAAAATAAAATAAGAGTAATCAAGCTTTTTGGCATGAGCTATTCTTTGTAAGCCCTTGCTGTTCATGTGGACAATTCTCTGACCTTCTAGATGTTTCATGATTTTTTTCTCTCATGACTTGCTCCTTTATTTCCCCATGGATAAGGATGCATTCCAACCAGAACATTGGTCCAAGCCCTCTGAGCTTTGGAGTGGTGTGCATTCAGATCCAGATATGGACCCTGACCTTACAAAGACTTATTCACATGCTTAACTTTGCAAACTGTGAGTAGCCTGATTAAAGTCAAGTGTGTAAATTTAAGCACTTCTGTAACTTTCCAGAGTCAAGACCTTGGATTTGAATTCTGTGGTCCAGGTCTTTTTGTGCTAGGGATGGGAGTTAAACTTATGGGATAGTAATTGCCAGGATCACTCTTCTTTACTTTTTTGAAGTAAATTTACTTTCTCCAGTCCTCCAAGACAATACTGCCCTATTTTTATGACTATTAAAATAATTGTCAATGATGTATTAATTTGCTAATTCTCTTAATATTCCAGGCTGTATATTGTCAAATCTGGCAGATTCATATATGTTATTTTTTTTAGTATTCCCTAACCTATTCTTTATCACTAGCTATTCTGATAAGTTTTTCCTCAGTTCCTAGTTGCTGAGATGTCTTTTCTTTATTTTTCTTAGTGAAGCAGGTATAAAAAAGGAATTCAGTATCATAGCTATTTTTGAGGTATCATTAATCTAATTCCCCTCCTCTTTTATTAATGCATTTATTTAGGTACCACTTCTGAAAAATCTTGTGATTAACTTAAAGTTAATGGGACTACTCATGTGCTTAAGGTTAAGCATGTGCATAAGGGTTTGCAGGATAAGTGCTTTAATCCCTAGCAATTGTTACCCCCTATGAAAATAAGGACATATATATGTATGACCTTACTTTGACATTCAGATAAATCTCTGTATCTTGCACATGGAAGGAAACCCTATGAATGCACTGCAAGTTTTGTAGTTTAGTTTTTGTTTTGGTAAGATGTTGAAGCATCAGCCTTTTAAAACATATTTAAAAATTAATTTCAGAAAATATTCGTGGTCTGGAAATCTGTTCTCTGTCAGCGGAGATGCAGCAGTCTCAGTGTGTGAATGTGAGATTTTCTAGAAAAACAAGCAACAAGCTTGTTGGAAGGAAGGTAGGCTCCCTCTTTTTGATTTGCTTAGCATAAAAATATTGTGAGCCTTTGGAGGAAAAAAAACCAAGAATACATTCAATGCCTCTCTTTTCTTCATCCCACCGCTGACTTTGCCAAACTGTGTACATGATGATTATACTTCTATTATGTTACCTTAAAAACTACTGATTGGAGAGTATGACTCAAATTGCAACACTTTTTATAACATATAGACTCCCTTCTTTACCACCTTTAATAATTGCTTCATTTATCATTTTGCAAGAGGTAGTGCGCTTTACAGAGGCTGGTTTTCAAACCAGCCTCAACATGAACTTTCATTTTGTGCCAGTGCGTGCCATTTTGAACCTGCAGTTGCTTATGGAACACGTCACTTAGACATCTAAGTATGTGTGTATTAGTTACTTACCTTAGATGGTCAGGTGGTATTAATTTCAACTGCAAAATAAATTGCAGGGCCAGACTGAATCCAGAAGTAGTATCTTTGAAAAATCTGACCTACTATGTGGAAAATAAGATGATTTTTTTATTTTAATGACTGGTAGCTTATAGCTTTTTATTAATATCACAAACATGTTATTTCTTGTGCATGTGTATATGTTGTGAAAGGACCATATTGCCTCATGATAAGTGAAATGAGGTCTCTTTCCTCAAAATAGTGTTTTGCTTCTCTCACTGTAATATTATCCACTGATCAAACATGCCTTAGTGCAGCATTCAGTTGGCCATGAACTGCCTATAACATTGAAATTGAGGTAAATTTTCTGTCACTTCCCAACAGCTTTTCTTGGCTTACATCCAGTAAATAGAACTGGAGACCTCAATTGATCCTTACATCCCTCAATTCCATGCCACAGACTGAAAATGAATAACTCCTGGATGAAATTAATGTAATTATTGTAATTTTTTACCTCTAATACACGTGTAAGAGAGTCTGAAATCTGAGAAACAACTAATGACCTTTTAGAGGCCTCTGATGGAAAGGTCAGATTTCACACTACAATTTGTTCTGCCAGCAATGACGTTACCAGATCTATGTATTCAATGTCAAAATCTAGCTCAGTTTGGATCAGAAATTATGACACTCTTGGAAATCTCTTCTGAAAATAATGTCTGTGGTTTTTTTTTACATTATTCTCAATCATATGATCTCTAAGAACGTATAGTGTTGTTGTAAACAGAAGCCAGTTTGAACAAAAGTGACTCATTGCTTAGACCTGTGATATCGTGTCTCTTATGTGTTCTGGAAGTTATGGAAAAACTTGATTTTAAATGCATGTTTTAAACAGGTGCATGTGCAGTTTAATTGCTTTGAAGTCAATGTAGCACAACACATCTATGTGACCATGAAAACAATACCAAATTACTGTGAAGTCAAGATGAGTCAGGAGTACTATGTTGAAGGTAGGAAATGATCTTTAAAGTGATGTTTCAGAAAATAACACTTATATAACTTATACCAGATCTTCTGCTGGTATAAGTCTGCCTAGTCTCATCTGAGTCAGTGTGCTGGGATGATTTACACCAGCTGAGGATCCATTCAGCCCTATATTTTAATGATTTTGTTAGGTGTACACAAAATGGAGTCTCAAGGTTCACACACAAAAGTGTGTTTGCAAAACTGCAACCACGAATGTATCTGCAAGAATTGCAGTTGTGCTAGTTAAATTGTCTTTGAATGTTAGGGTGACCAGATGTCCTGATTTTATAGGGACAGTCCCGATTTTTGGAACTTTTTCTTATATAGGCTCCTATTACCCCCAACCCCAGTCCCGATTTTTCACACTTGCTGTCTGGTCACCCTACTGAATGTGCAGTTACCCTATTTCATGTTCAGTCCTGAGGGGGCTGTTACACAACTGCTCTGCACCTTGACCTGGGTCTCTGGTACCTTTTGAAAGTTTGGCTCAAAGAGTAATTTTTAACATTAGATGTAAACGGTTTATTAAAAAATATATTCAAAGATTAGAAGAAGCCCTTTTGGGAGATTGTACGTAGAAATTCAGAAGAAATGCACAGGGCTTTCTAGGGAAGCTTTTAGTTTTCAATTAATGTTCTGATCTACTACTTGTTTCTCTATATACAGGTATGATAGTAATAGTTCCAAACTATTTAAAGCACAGTGCATGCTACTTGTCAATAAAACTGGTCAGATGACATTTCACAGATTTTATTATATCCTGTTATGTGTTGCCATAAATTAGGTCTGTCAATTAATCGCAGTTAACTCATGCGATTAACTCAAAAAAATTAATCGCTATTAAAAATACTAATCACGATTAATCGCAGTTTTAATCACACTCTTCAACAAAAGAATACCAATTGAAATTTATTAACTATTTTGGATGTTTTTCTACATTTTCAAATATATGGATTTAAATTACAACACAGAATACAAAATGTACACTGCTCACTTTATATTATTTTTATTACAAATATTTGCACTGTAAAAACGATAAAAAAAAAGAAATAGTATTTTTCAATTCAAGTAGAAGTACCTCATACAAGTACCATAATGCAATCTCTTTATCTGAACATGCAATTTACAAATCTAGATTTTTTTTTGTTACATAACTGCACTTAAAAACGAAACAATGTAAAACTTTAGATCCTACAGGTCCACTCAGTCCTACTTCTTATTCAGCCAATCGCTAAGACAAACAAGTTAGTTTACATTTACAGGAGATAATGCTGCTGGCTTCTTACTTACAATGTCACCTGAAAGTGAGAACAGGTGTTCACATGGCACTTTTGTATCCAGCATTGCAAGGAATTTATGTGCCAGATATGCTACACATTTGTATGCCCTTTCATGCCTTCAGCTACCATTCCAGAGGATATGCTTCCATGCTGATGACACATGTTAAAAAAATAATGCGTTAATTAAATGTTGACCGAACACCTTGGGGGAGAATAGTATGTCTCCTGCTCTGTGTTTTACCAGCATTCTGCCATGTATTTTATATTAGAGCAGTCTCGGATGATGACCCAGCACATGTTGTTCGTTTTAAGAACACTTTCACTGCAGATTTGACAAAATGCAAAGAAGGTACCAATGTGAGATCTCTAAAGATAGCTACAGTACTTGCATGAGGTGAATTGAAAAATACTATTTCTTTTGTTTTTTACAACACAAATATTTGTAATAATAAATATAAAGTGAGCATTGTACACTTTGTATTCTGTGTTGTAATTGAAATCAATATATTTGAAAATGTAGAAAACATCCAAAAATATTTAAATACATGGTATTCTAGTATTGTTTATCAGTGCAATTAATCGTGCTATTAATCACAATTAATTTTTTTAATCGCTTGACAGCTCTACCATATATATAAAACCTTGGGATGTTTAGCAAACATTTCAATTTCATGTTACATTACCTCACTTTTTATTGCATGAGAAATATAGTGTGTGAACATAAATGAAAAACAGTTATTAGAAAGCCCTATTTGATACCACATTACATGGAAGAAGGAACAAAGATATACACTGGAAAATTGCTCCTGGCATTGTATGAGAAAAAGAAAGCAAAAGACTTCTCCAGTATTGATTTAGCCAAAAAAGCTAAGTCTAGGAAGCAACCTTGGAGATGTATAGAGCTAGCTAAGTGCATGTTTAAATCAATCCTTAAGACTCTAATTTCTGACCGCATATTATCTGCCAGGGTCTAAACTGACCTTTATGTCGGGCAAACTACCTAGGAAATAAATAATGTATTTCTTATAACAATAAGCCTAAGAGGAAATCAGCATGAAAAATGTTCACAAACATTTACATTAGACAAATTATGTTGGGAAACTATTGGTGTTTTTTACAAGGGAGGAATGACTTACATTAATTGCAGGTAACAATGGATAAAAAAATGTGGTGTAATAGCCCAGACTGCAAATTTGTTTAAGGTTCTCATGAACATTTGTAGTGAGAAAAGGCCCAAACTGGCAAGATAACTTCCTTAATACTAGTGTGAAGTGATCAGTGGGTGAGAAGGAAGGAAGCACTTTCTGTGTGCCATTATCTTTTATGACTTTGTACTGGACATACACGTTCTTCCTTCAAAAACAAGCAAACTAACAAACAGAACAAGGGGATGAGCCTCAAGTGCATTAGAACAATTTCCTTTTAGGAGGTGCGCAGAACTATGGTGATGAAAGACATAAAATACCCAGATAGAGAGGCTTCTTGTAGGTGTATAGTTATCTCAGCACTGCTGAAAACTCTTGTTCTATATTTTGCAGATTGCAGGAACAATGATGTGGGAAAACATATTCCAGTCTGTTTTGGTGAGCTGAGCATCATTGAACATGCATCACATTGTCATTGTGCTTGTACAGTTGCATACAGTCAAGCAATGCAAGATGGATAAATATTTTACTGCTGCCAAGTATTCCAATGGACCATTCCCTGTTATATTTCTATACTTGTATATCTATAATATCTTCTGCATTTCCAACTGTTATCAACAAAAGTTATAGAACTGGTAGAGCATGGGGTATTCTGCCAAATGTAAGGGTTTGGGAATATTGATTTGGAAACCGTAGATAGATAAAAAAGTGGGGTTAACACTTTGTTTAATATTAAATCTTACACACTCTGTCATTCTCACACACACAGGTTTGGCCTCCAGGTATACATTCAGAGACCTCTGCTGCAGCCTTTAACCAGCATGGGAGTATTCCTACTGATATCAGTTACATTTATAGTGACTATTGCTGGAGTACGCACATGTGTATGGACTACAGGAAAGGTCCCTTTCTACTTAAAGGGATATAGCCAATTTAAAAAAAAACATGCTGAATATTTTTCTACCTGTTATTGTTACAAGTAACACTTAGGATGGTTATAACTGGAAGAGATTAGGGAAAAACCCAGCATTTTTTGTGATTTTTCAGTTTGAACATTTGACAGAACTTTGTATACAGCTAGGTTCACAATTTCCTCTATATTGTCAATCAGTCAATTTCTCCTGTTATTGGGGTGGATCTTTCACACAGCAACAGGGGAAAGAAAGACATTTTTAAAATGAGCACCCGCAACTCCCTGTAAAGTCTTATGGTAGATCCACATGGCCCGGGATCTCTTGCATGTTTATCTACTACAGTTAGTGTATTAAATTGTTCTATACTTTCAGTGTGGTTAATGCATGTTTATAAAATAATTATTTCCCACATGGCATAACCCTGTGTCAAGTGCTATATGATAATGTAAACAAAGAACTTACCATATAATGCCATTACCAACAAAAAGGGGGGCAAGAGTTTAGCATATGCTTGCTCCTTAAAGGGCAATGGAAAGTTAGTCATATGTGCACAGTGAATAAAGTTGAATGAAAACCACATGTGCCAACAATGCCCATTTGCTTCAAAGTGTAACTTTATAGAGAGAGAGCTTAAAGGGGCAGTGTCAAGGCTGATAGGCTTAAAAAACACCCTATTGAGGGTAGACCTGTTTTTAAATTTTTATCCTTTGAAGTGTGTCTATTCATTTCCACCTCTGTAGCCCTCCACCACCCACCACCACCAAAAACTGCATGTCTCTGAGGGGAACATAAAACTATTTTCAATAGGTGGTCAGCTTCTTGTAGAATATGTGGTGGATAGTGTGGAGTTTATCAATGCCATTCTTCAAATGAATGAATGGACACAAATGATTGGAAGACCAAAGCTACAACTTTATGCTGAACAATGTAACACAATGAATAATGAAAAGCAGCAGGCAGGATGTCCTTGTTAAATTCCAATATAACTGGTTCCTGATGCAACAGCAAAGTCCCTATGCCCCGACTATAGCTAAGCGAAATTTGGAATGTCTGTCCATCCAGAAAGCCTGACATTTCAACATTTGGTTTTGTCCTTGTGACAAAAAGTAGAAATTTTGAAATATTTTGCAGAACAGAAATTCTGAAAAATTGTGATCTGTATCAAATTGTGAAAGTATCAAAACTTTTCATTTTGACATTTTTGATCAATAGAAAACATTTTTGACATTCCCCAAATTGAAATGTTTTGTTTTAGTTTATTGAACTGAAGAAGCACATAGTGGCGCATTGCCTTATGGCAGTTGTTGTTTGGGAGCCTGATGCCCCATTCTTTCCTATGGGCTAGGCTCCCTGGCCATCCCTCCCATGATCACCTAGAGTCATGTGACTCCTCTGATGTACCAGGCAGCTCAGTCAGAGGGAAATCTGCATTGCATTATGGGAGATGAAATCCTCTGGGGAGCCCAGCCCATCAGAGAGATAGCGATCAGAAATATAACTCTCATAAGGCAGTGTGCTGATAGGGAAATGTAGTTCAATGTTTTGTTGAACTGATTTGAAACTAAATGTTTCAAATGTCAAACTGACCCAAATAAAAATATTTCATTTATATTTTCCTGACAATTTTTTGTAATTAAAATTTTCCCATGGGAAAATTTGGATTTTGTGAAAACTGCATTTTTCCATTGCCTAATTTTTCTGATGGAAAATTCCCAACCTGCTCTAGTGCCAACTACAGGCTGCAAAGGTTCTACAGAGGAATCTAAGCCCTATTTCAGTTGATTGTTTGGTTCCTTAGATGATAGTACAGTCTGTAACACATTCTAGTGCCAGAACTGAGCCATTGTGCAAAATCATCATCCCACAAGCCATGTAGCAGACTGATGCTGCTACAACAAATATTTCTTTTCTCAATGGCATGTGCAGCTTTGACAAAGACCACAAGGAATATACATAGGAATTAGTCAAAGAAATTTTTAGACTGAGTATCAGGAAAAAGTTAATTGTGCCGCCACTCTGCTCACTATGCTCCCACTCATATGCTAATATTCGCAAATATATATTAAAAAAACAGACTTCTGTGCCTCTTGGACCATAGTTGCAAGGTCAGGGAAGATTCCTAGTTAGACCACCATAGAGGACCCCACAGCTAGACTGAAATTAATCTTCCCAACAGCCAGCTCTCCTGTCCTGTGGAGGTTTGGCAATAAAAGATTTTGTTCCGAGAGTCAAACATGTTTTTGGCCTAAGAGAAAGCTGCATGTCTTTTTTAAAATTAATATTTTCTAGCCACATAATCAGTTTCAGGCGAGATAGGCAGGGGGAACAACACATGACTAGATTATTCAAGTTCTAGAATTTACAGATGGAAATGCTGTTAAGGTACAGTTAACAGCTATCTTGGCCTGATAACTGTTAATGTCAGTTAAAAAAATTAAACTGGATGGCTCTGAACTTCAATCTCATGAAAATCATTAAGTAGCATAAAAGAAGAGGATATTTATGTGGACCTAAATATACATTGAATGAATATGTATCAATATGAGGGGGAATACTCATACAAAAAATCAGTGTTGATTGACAACGTAACTAGGCACTGATGCATAATAACTTAATGTGTTTATTTTTTTCTTATCTCAGCTGGGAAGTTGGATTATAATGTGGACAGGGTGAGGAAAACCATATCTGTGAATGTATCAGACTTTCTTCAAGACCAAGACTATTATGTTCGTTTATGTCACAAATGGTTTACCTGTGAAGACGTGGGGTCATTTGCTTTGGTGAGTAAGAATTTATTATAGGCTGGGACTATTTTCTTGTTGAATTTAGTGGGACTACTCACATGAGTAATGTTGCTCATATGTATGTATTTGTACGATCTGGCCTAATATTTTTATATGTAGTTTCATTGAAAGCCAGCTACTGGATAGAATTACTGGACTCACCATTTTCTATTTAATTTCAGATAAAAGGGAAGGAGTCTTTGAAGTCAATTTCCTTGCAATATTCCCAGTTACTGCCTTGTCTCTGCATTGAGGTAAAATATTTTGATAACCTTCAGCATCTATCCCAGCCTTAAATAAAGGAGATCACTAAAAGTGCATCATTCCTGCCAATCTCTTTACAGCAAATTCTGTAGTATGAATGGCCAGATTCTGAGCCATGATAAGCAAATTAATGAGAGTTGTGTGTGCTTAGCAACCGTGGCTACTGGAGTCTATGTCTCTGAGCCTGCAGACACTTATATTCATAGATTCCAAGGCCAGAAAGGACTACTGAGATCATCTCATCTGACCTGTATAACACAGGCCAGATAACTTTCCCCAAATAACTCCTATAGCAGATATTTTAGAAGAAACATCCGATCTTGATTTAATAATTGCAAGTGCTGAAGAATCCGTTACTACCCTTGGTAAATTGGCCAGTGGTTAATTATCCTCATGTTAAAAATATATGCCTTATTCCCAGTCTGCAATTGTATAGTTTCAACTTGCACACATGCTTAAATAATGAAGCCAGTGGGACTACTCACATGCATATGTGTTTGCAGGATCAGGTTATAAGTGTTCAATTGGTTACCAGCAAAAAGGTCTAGGGTCTATCCTAAACTCATTGAAGTCAATGGCCAAACACCCATTGACTTCAACTTGAGTAGGTTTGGGGCCCAAAATGTATAAATCAACAGTGTTACATATTAGAAATGATATTGTGTCATTTCAGGAATTTAAAAGAGTTTGCCACTAATAAAACTTAAATTGGAATGTCAAGTAAATGAAATGAAAATCAAACATAGACATTCGATTATGGAAAATCTGAAAGAAAACCAGAATAATCCAACAGCTGTTGTGACACATCTCTGTGGCTGGGTTGTTTGGATGTGTTCTGACTTTGAATATGTGGGTTGAACTGCCTCAAAAATAGCAGATTTGAGAATATAATTGACTAGCTAATGGCAATTCTTTGGGTTGCAGGGTTGGTCAGCGATCCCAGATGCAAGGAGGACACAACTTTGCCCTTTTAAAAATGGCAAGTAGATTGTAATTATTGCATGGCTGAGTATTTATTAGTCAGTTCCTGACATATACCATCTCCTTACATGTGCTTATATATAAAATGACACTGCTTGGATTGTTGCATTTTAAGAAGTGACAGTTTTTATTTGTAATACAGAAAATAATTCTTAAAATGAGGTATTACTATGTATATTTTTCATCAGATTTTTTTCTAATAGGCCAAATTGTACTCTCAGTTTACACCAACATAAATGCTAGGTAACTCTATTGATATCAAATGGTGTAAATGGGAGCAGAAATTGGCCCTATTAGTATAATTTTTGTTTCTTAATTCAAGCACAAGGAGACCAGAATGAAACAACAGCTTGGAGCTCAGCTTTGAGGTTCATGAAGAAAGTGGACTTTAAGGAAGTATTTGAAGGCAGGGGTCTGGCAGACAAGAAGGAGGAGGCTGTTGCAAATGTAAAGGGTGGATAAAGGAAGGGGAAGAACTGAGTGTGGGAGTGGTTAATAGGGAGGATCAAAGGAAACCTGAGTGGGAGTAGGAGATGACATGAAGGAAAGCGTGTAGAGGTTTAAAGGTTAGAGTAAGGAGCTTGAATCTGGTGCATTAATAAATAGGAAGCCGATAATAAATGTAAGATTATAATCTGTGATTATAGACTGTGAGCCTGATTGCAAACCTCTTCCTTGGATGAGCAGTTACTCACACAGGTAGTTCCACTGAAGTCACAATCTGGCTTGGGGGAGTGGTAACAACTGAAAATGAAATAGGTTTTCAGTGTTTTGTGTGGTGAAGGGTTTCTGTCCTGCAGGAAAATTCTCATACTTCAACATATGCTTTTATCTCAAACCAGGACAAAAAGTCAGAATACCCAAACTCTTGGCAGAACAAATAGTTCTGAAAGGTTTTGATTAGGAAATATCAAAATGTTTCGTTCTAAGTCGATTCAGCATTAAACTGTGTGCACCTCAGCCACTGCTGCACCTCACGGGAAGTTGTAGTTCGGGTAGCACATGCCCCCATTCTGCCCTATAGGCTGGGCTTCTCAACCAAACTACATCTCCCATGATGCTGGGTAGTACTTGTGTTCACCTTTTTGTGAACATTCAAATGACTTAGTTTTACTGGTGCACCTACCTGCAGAAATGTAATTTCCTTTTATTATTAGGTATTAGACAAATCCACATTTCCAAATTGCTTGCATGAGTATTTGCAGAATTACAATTTTAAATCTGCATGCTGGAAATTCTTCCACTTTCATCCAATCAGGGAACAAAACCAATCACAATTAATTAAGACAGCTCCAGTTTTCAACAGTGAGTATTCAGTACACCGTTTGCAAACCATAAAATACAGAAAAAAATCCCAAAAACAAAAAATAAGTTGAATAAATCTGTGAAATTGCAGTCTGCTTGTGATGTTCAGGGAAGAGAAAAAGAAGCTAATTATGCAGATCGGTTTACTTGTGGGAATTATTCGCTTAGTTCTAATAATTATTCAGAACCCTAGAACTCCACCTCCTAGTTTGAGTTTATTTGCTCTCTCTATATAGTGAGTCTAATTTGCCACTACCATGCTCTCTCGCATAGTCTTTTACAGTTACAAAGTCAGTGAAAAATGCTACCATTCTGATTGAGCCAAGGTTGCATGGATGGAAATGATTACCCAAGAGGCCGGGGAATAGAGAATCTGGCCCTTAGGTTTTATTTTAAGTGCTGATGCATGAATCTTTGGTTTCAATATCATTTAGATTAATTTCATTAATCTCAAATAATGTTTCTACTGTTTGTGCATAGATACAAAGGCACTGTGGGATAACATTGTATATAATCCAGCCACACAAACACTAGCCTGGGAACCAGCCTGTCCTGTGCACGTCACTGTTAACCTGTGCAGGTTAACAAAGTCGAATGACCAATGTGTAGATCTACAAAACTCATCAACTACAGCTCCAGAGAAAGTAAGCTTTATATAGTATCTTTAGGACCGTAAGACTAAGGGTAATATCCTAAATCCAATGCATAACATAAGTAGCTAGGATATGGAATAAGGGCAGTTGCAAATACTTGTTTTTGTTCTATCCTATCTACACAGGTTCTGATACACCACGCAGCTTGTTATTGTATAATAACAGCATGAGTTATTCAGAGAACTGAATACATGCTGTTGATAAAATGGTTCATGGTAGAAATTCTTGTGAACCTAGAATTTTTTGCTAAAAGAACAAGTTTTTTGTTTCCTAAAATAATTGTGGCTTGATTCTCATGTACAGTAAAGCCCCTTTACACCACACTGGCAGTGTAATGGCACCTTAGCATTAGCGCAATTACATTTGTCCCCACTTTAAGGCCCCGTTCCACTCCCAGACTGGTGTAAAGCACCTTAGTGTAAATAAGAATTAGGCTCATTGCTTTTTGTAGGTATTGAAATTGTGGGCGGCTTCATCCTTTCTGAAAAGTTATTTTCCGAACTAAGAGATAATTTATAACACAGCAGGTGTTGCCAACTCTTGTGCTTTAATCATGAGTCTTGTGATCGTGAGTGCTTTTCCTAAAGACCCAGATTCTGGATTCATATGGTTGGATGAGAATCTCAGCTTTCATTTTTAAAAAAAAGTAAGGTTCTATCTCTGATGGTTGTGGAGAAAATGTGACACCTAAAGACTGTAACACCAGAAGGCAAATAAAAAGAACCGCAAATTCTTAATTTTTAAAAGTCTTATAATTGTTAAGCCAATCCCATGATTATTTGGGGACCAATTCATGATTTTTTAATATTTGGAGTTGGCAATACTGAAACTGGAAGGCTGAAAGGATTTGAACTCCTGGCCAGGTGGTTAGTGACTACTCAGCCTTTACCATTGTCCTGATGTCAAGCTTTTAATAAAGCCCTGATCCACAAACACATGCATGCTTAATGTCACACATGTCAGTAGTCCAAGTGGGACTTCTTGTGTGCTTACAGCTAAGTACATGCATAAGTCTTTGCAGAATCAAGGCCTAAGTTTGCTATGCTTGGTAATTGTCATGTAAAATTACCCAGCATTCAAACAGACAATGGATTTGCCACCAGAAGATGAATACTAAAATAAAAATGCCCTTGTGAATTTTGTATTTTCACATAACTCTTTTCCCATTGTTGCTATTGGGCTAATTTTAATGTTCAAATGCAGGGTTCATTTTCCCCCTTTTTTCCTTTCTCTTTATAAAGGGATTTGAGCTGAGTTGTGGACATGGTCTGAGTATAGAAGTGCAGCCAATGACATTCTTCACATTGTCCTCAAACTGTCTACAGCATAGAAACCAAACTTAGGTCATAACACTGCAAGCTGTTACTTGGGCACAAAGCCCTTACTACATGAGCACTTCCATTGGTTTCAATAGGATTACTCACATGAGTAAGGATCACTCACTTGAATGAGTCTTTGAAGGATGTGGCCCTTGAAAAATAACTGAGGCCCTGGTTCAGAAAAGTATCCTTTTCTGGAAGGGCACTTAAGCACATGCTGAACTTTAATCATGTGCTGAAGTCCTAATTGAAGTCAGTGGGACTTCATCACATGCTTGAAGTTCAACAGATGATTATGGGCTTTCTTGAATGGGGATGGGCCTAAACACAGGGTCCAATACAGAAGAGCATTTAAACATGTGCATAAGTGTTTTGCTGAATAGGGATGTCCTGCTGAATCAAGGCCTGAAACAACAAGAGCTGTGTAATCGGTTTGTTATTGAATTGAAGAAAGCAAGTCATTACCAGATCAGTTAGGTTTAGATTTAATTGGTCATATTCTCCTGTTGTTTGCACAAATCTCCCATTGACATCATAGGAAGTCCTGTTTAATTATGAGGGTAGAGTATGACCATAGGATAAAACATACGATAAAAAAATTAACTACATTTCACTTCAAAATTAATTAATTGTTTGTAATGTGTTTTGAAAATGAGAAGCGCTACCACATGCTAGGTATTACCAGATCAAATCCAGGTACCTTTATTCAGTGAAAACTCCTATTGAAGGTAGTGATTGGTCCATTATAATTATTAAATTACTTTATGTGATTAACTGATTGACACATTTAAAAAAAAGAAAACACCTTCAGTTCCTTTTCTAATACATTAATTGTACAAGTGGTTTGTTCTTTCTGTTGATACTGGTTCGTAAACCTGACTAATTCTGTGCACTCTCTTTTCAAGCAGGTAAAATATTCCCGCGTAGACACTCATCCAAGACTTTGCATGAAGGTAAATTGCTTTTTTTTGTAGATTAACCATTTACACCATTCCTCCTCATTTTGCAGGTATCAACTACAAAAGATGCATCACTAATAATCTTTTGGAAGGATACTCTTTACCTTATAACCCATGAAAAGACAATAGGAATAAGAAATATTAGAATATTAGAAATATTTAGAAATATTTAATATCTAATATTAGAAATATTAGAATAGGAGGATGTGTTATGAAAGTCAATAAAATGTCAGATATGAAAAATGGCTCATATGGGACCATATTGTGGCATCAATTTTTTTATTTTAATGGGCTTTAAAGCTGATGGCATAACATGGCTAATAGAGATGTGCTTTCACAAAATGGCAAATTTGAGAATGAGAAGACAGAGATAAAAAGCAATGTATATTACCATTCATTTGCTCTGTTTTCCTTGCTGTTAAGGAGAAGGACTTTACTACCTATTCCTGCCACCAAAACTGAAATTAAAATTCAGGGCCTGATTCTCCATTGCCTTGTGTAGTCATGGACACCTGGGCAAAGTGGGTGTGCAGCTCTGTGCTTTTGTTTGGGTAGTATTTTACATAGACTTTGCACAGATGTAAATCGTTAGGCAAGGTGGAAGGCAGTGGAAAATCAGGCATACAGAATTCAAGACTCATCTCATTCATGCTGGTGCAAATTGGCAGTAACTCTGTGGGAATCAGTGGAGATACACCAATATCAAAGTAATGGAAGTGAGGTCAGAATCAGGCCCTCAAAGCCAGTATTCCAAGCGTTCAACTACAGATGAGAGAAATAGCCCTTGAGACCCTCAAAATACCAAAACTTCAGACTCAGTGTCTCTCCAACCCTCATAAGAATTTCATAGGAAAAGCTGAACCAAATTACATTAAATCACATGACTATTTGCCTAGTGTTCACCTGAGTCCACACCCAAGTATGGCTTTGTTGGATTCTATATCCGCACAGGAAAAGTTTCCAGACCTTATCGTGGACCTGGTCTGACTTTTGAGTTTGCAGTGAAATATAAAATGAGGTGTGGTTGGATGTGTTTCCGGTATCATCACGAACATTTACCATATGCAGCTTTAATGATAGTCACATGATTATGCAGAAAACTTGAAAGTATTGTATCAAGGCCATAAAACAGAATAATAAAACTAACAGCCAATAAAAGAAATATGACTCAAGATAAAAACAAAACAATATTCATTAAGGGGAAGAAATCAGGACAGTTACTGTTCCCTAAGAGATAGCAGTGGTTACTGCACAGCTTTAAACTGACAATGCAAAAAAGCAGAATAGAACATTTTATGCCCTCATGCTGCAAGCACTTAAGCATGTGCTTAACTTTATGCACTTGAGTAATGGTAAATTCTTTGAATATTTGTGCTATGCATCCCTGGACCAAATCGTGCTGCTGTTATTCAGGCAAAATAGCCTATGAAGTAAGTCTTTGGCTCATTATTATTATTTTTAAAATGCTTTTAAGCAACTGATCTTTTTGTCAGTGGGACTGCATAGCAATGTAAAGTTAAACACTTGCATAAATGTTTGCAGAATTAGGGCCTTAGTGAGTATCAGAGCTTGGAGCATAACATGGGAGGTAAGCTGTGAATAATTCTTTTGCTGCTTTCTGGAATTCAGTGAGTGGCTTTAGCTGGATCTGTAGGCACAAGTTCAAACTGCAAAATTGTCTTCTAACAACTTTCTTTATTTTCAGTTTACAACCAAGCAAGGCTCTTGGGTTAGATGCCCATTTGCTCATGGGAATTTTCCAGGTAAATAACTTATTTTATTAAATTAAAATGACAAATTAATAATTATATTAAATTAAATTAACCACTAGACTACAACTCTCATCGAGTAAAGCTTGTTGGTCTTGTTATATCCTCTGAATTGCATCAATAATATTTAACAATACAGGTTTTCCATTTGTAAACTCCCACAGTAAATCAAGTATTTGTAAAGATAGATAATAACCTGTTAAAATCAAGATAGCTATTGATAAAACAGTTGACGGTATTCAAGCTGATAAAAATGGTTTTATTTTAGCACAGCATGGTAGCTAGTGCCGTAGTCTCTCATACGTCATTCATTATGTGAGTGATTACATTTTAAAATAACAGCCTTTCTCCCCACTTTCAGCTTGGAAAATGAGAATTGCTGCCGGGGCAGAACAGATACAAGTCTCCTTCATGTCACAAACCAAAGCACAATTTTCAGTGCTGGTGTGTAACAAGGCACAGCTGTCTTCATGTGACTCTGTTGGGATACGCCACTCAGTCTCAGCGGTTGGTATGCGTTATTGATCAGAAGTTGCTATCAATAAGGCAGCTTCAGCATGTTTAATTTGAATTTATTGCCATCCATAGCTCTGGACAAAACTAGCAAAAAGCCAGGCACACACACTTTGGAACAATATCCACAATTAAAGCATTTAATCCTAGTTCTGATCTCACCCTGATCAGGAGTAACTCCACTGAAATTACACACCAGCGGAAGTGACTTTTGAGTGCTGGACTTTGCAACTTGAATGTTCTTTAATGTAGTTTTTTGTTGTTGTACTAGTTATAAATATGTGCACGTCATAGGCCCAATTCATTACCACTGGTGCAGGGATGTTCCAGAGCTATACCTCTCTGTGCCAGCTTGATTTGCTGTGCTGCAGGCGGTTCACACAAGACAGGGACATACAGTGGATCCCACATCTGATCTCCCTTGAGGTTTCTGGTAGGGAGGGCAGCTTTATGCTCTGCTGGGCTTTTCGTAGGACACCTGAGGGAATAGACTGCCTTGTGGATGCAGTACCACTATACAGCCTATCCTTGAACTCTATGGACACTGTTGGCTATTTTTTGGGAAGTGTTGGCCAGCCATAGATCCCCCAGGGAAGGGGAAATTCTTGCCCTGTCTGACACCAGTGCAAGCCCTATGTGAATTTGGACATATATCTAGCTAAAGATAATGGATACCATGGGACTTTTTGAGCCTTATTTTCTAGAAGAATTAGCAAGCACTGTGGGCCTGATTCTCACTTACTCTAAGACACCTTTACAACAGTGTAAAGGAAAGTTAAAATGGACATATATTATGCCCACACCCTAGCTAAGGCCCCTTTCTCTGCCAGTTTGGTGTAAAGATGCCTTAGTGTCACTGAGAGTCATGCACTGCATGTTATACAAGTACAGTGAGAGAGAACTGTGGGATTGTCCTCAAGCCAACAATATTTTATAGAGCTGGTTGTAACTCAGAATTTCTGTTCTGTGGGAAATTCTGACATTTTGAAAAAAGGTTTTGTTCTGATTTGGAATGAAAATAAGACATTTTGAAATTTCTTGCAGGAAGGAAATTCTGAACAGTTTTAGTTAGAAACAACATTCAGTTGTTCTGAAACAAAACTGAGCAACTGGCTGCCCCTGATTCCCTGGGCTGCCCCCGACGCCTGGGGATTTCCTGGGCTGCCCCTCACTCCTGGAATGCAGATTCTAGAAGCCATGAGAGCTCCAGCTTGAGCAGAGGACTAGACCTGAGGGTATATTTACACTGCAGCTGGCTCTACCCTGCTAGAGCCAGGGTTCCCAGGACTTCCAGGGTCCCAGCTCCGCAGCAGCTCACCAGAAAACCAGGCAGGTGTTGGCGGAAGTTCATTGAAACCAGAATGTTTCTGCGAAACATTTCGGTTTTGAAGAATCGGCATTTTCCAATGGAAAAAACATTTTGTTGGAAAATTCCTGGCTAGCTCTATTTGTTAACATGTTACACTCAGTTATTGTGGCTGCAAGCCATCGTTTATGGTTATGGAAATAATAGCTTGTGGTTAATTCATCAGCAGACATGGGGAAAATGCTCGCCGTCTTGTGACAGGCACTCCACGTAGTTTGCTCATATTCCCACCAGACTAGAGCACTCAATGAGTGTTTCTAAACCTGCTCTCTATGGAACGCCTAGTTTCACATTAGTATCTGGCTATATTCAAATAGGAAAATATTCTCTTTATCAGTGAATTTTCTGTTATCTAAAGTCCATTATTTTATTATTACATTACTAAGGCACTATCTTGGTAGCTAAGCATTGATCCCGGATGCATTTGGCCATATATGTATTCATTTCTGCATTGGTATGGGGAAGCTGGTAGTGATCCCTATATTTAAATTTCCATTGTAAAGGATTCTTGCGACCATTTTCGAGAAGCTCTCATCGCCTTCCTTTCTAGCAGGCCTTTGTTATTCTGCAGGGAGAATGCCCTTGGCTAGCAAAGTGCCTCTTCCTGTCCCATGGCATTCTGATCAACTTTTGCTGAGATTAAAAATTGCCATTTCTCCTCTCTCCATTACATTC